GAAATTAGGCTTTATTTATTAGCATCTGGATGTAGTAGTTCTGCAATAGATATATTAGCAAATCTTGGAATCTCAGCATGTTATAAAACAATTGATGATTATAAAAAAAAAATAGCAAAAGAACATTCAACAAAAATTTCTAATTATTTTATATTTTATGTAAGTAAATTTTAATAATAATTATAAATTTTTTCTATTTTAATTTATTAATTTATAGTAATATATTTATTTTTTAGCAAAATATTATGCATGTTTTTAATATTGATGATTATCATTCAATTCATTCTTATAAAAGATCAAATACTACATCTTTATCAAATATATATCATATAGCTACTTGTGTTGCAAAAAGAATTAATAATTGTGCACCAATTCTAGCAATATTTAATGATATTTCATTTTTTAATCCTCTTAATATTGATGCAAGTTTAATTAACAAATATTTGCTTAAAAAATATAATAAAACTTTTGATATAAGTTAGAATGCTCAAAAATTTCATTGGACTAATCAAAATATTTAAAAATTTCAACATTTTGATCGAATAGAGCTTCTTACAATTCATATTTATAATGATACAATTTGTGAACAAAAAGAAGAAAGATCAATAGAAAATGTACAAATTGTTGATATTGAAAAATATAGATTAAAATCAACAACAGATTATATTAAAGCACTTTCAATGATAACACAAATACCATCATTATATAAATATTTAGAATATAATATTTTATCAGTTGTAGCAGATAGGCCAGGACAATTATATATTTGAAAAGCTATTACTTTATTACAAAAAAAAATAAATTTTCAAACAAATAATTCAAATTATCAAACTACTATTCCAACAAATATTAAAAACTTTATTCAAATTTTGAACCTTTACATGTCTCTTTAAATACAAGACAACATATTTTAATAGTTTATTATGAATTTTTTAACAAATTATATAAATTTGTTTTTGGATTAAAAAAAAAACAATTAGCTAAAACTCCTCAACCATATAAAATTAATCTTCTTTTAGAATTAGCAAGTGAAAGTTAGAAAAAAATTAGTAATATAATTATTTTAAAATTTCTTAAATTATGCAAAGATATAGAATATAGAATGCTTATTGATCTTTTAGATAATTTAATTCTAGCAGCTTTGGATATATATGCTATTCTTTTTAGATCTGGATCATTTGAAGAATATATAGAAACAATTTTTCGAATTTGGATATTTGCTTTATAATGAAATAGAAAAAATTATAACAAAGCACCTTTAGCATTTTTATCTAATTATTTTTATTGGAATGATACAAATCATCCATTTAGTAAAGTATTAGAATCTTATCTTGTAAATTTTAATGATTATTTTGTTGAAAATATTCATAGTAAGATTCGAGCAAATACAACTTCAAAAGATTCAACTGATACTATAAAAAAACAAACATATATATTAAATCATCATAATTATTCTTTTATAAATTTTTTTAAAAATACACGAAAATATCCATACTCTTCTTCAACTTTAGATATATTAATTCAAAAAACATTAATATTTTTATTAGAAACTTTTTATTCTATTTAAAATAATATTGGAAAAACTCAATTTTTTAAAAATAAGAAAAATTTTATATTATCAGCTCTTCAAATAAAAGTAGATATTCGATGTTTTCCTACTGGATATCATTCATCATTTTCACCTACATTAAAGCAATGAGATACTTGTAAAGAAGATCTTGTTAAGTCTGCAGAAGGAAATGAATTTATTTTAATTTGTGAACATAGATATTATTTAGACTGTTATAAAAAAAACTATAATAGATGTGAATATTGTATACAATATTATAAAAAAGGAATTTTTGATAATGTAAAATCATTTGTAGAAAGATTAGAAAGTAGTGATGATAATTTAAAAGAACTTATAAAAGATGATAATAATAATAAAAATAATAATGATAATAATGATAATGAAAATAATGAAATAATTGAAACATAGTTTTTATCAACACAAGATAGTATTAATTTAAAATATTTAACAGCTCTTAATAATATACATAATTGGTAAATTATTTTTTTATAAAATTATATTATATTAGTAATTAAATATTATAAAAATTATTTTAAATATACTATATTTATATATTATTTTATTTAAAAAAAATTATTATTATATTATATAAAATATATATTATATTTTAAATTAAATCTATTCTAATCTATTCTAATTTTAACTCTAAATACTAATTTAAAATTTTAATTCTGCTAAAATAATATATAAGATTTTTATTCAAAATAACCTAATTCTGAATTAGAATAATTAATAAAGCTAAACTTGTATTAAGTTAGCAACAAATCTAAAAAAAAAAGAGAACAAATTACTATTTTCTTTTTTTTATATATTAAATGAAAGGTTAAGATCAAATGATAACTATTAAAAAGCCTTTGTCTAGTTCAGCTATTTTCATAATTTCTGGAACACTTAATTGTTACCTGAAATCTTTTTAGTCATCTGATAAATTATCTAATTTTCTGGAAATTACTTTGCTGCCTCTGAACTGAAGGTCTGAAGACATCGATATAGTTTCTGAAAAGTTAAATAATTTACTAGATGACTAAAAAGATTTCAGGTAACAAGTAAGTGTTCTAGAAATTATGAAAATAGCTGTAAGCTAAATCAAATTGAGCTTAAAACGAATTTAATCAGATTGATTAGTGATAATTCTAATTGGTCAAAATTAAAGATTCATTTCTCTAAAATGAATTGAATTTTTAAAACCTGGTTTATCTGTTAAACAAATTGAAAAATCAGAAATTGAGTTAATATTAAAACTGGTTTAACTTGAATTTGAAGTTGAATTGTATGAACTGGTTCCAACTTATAATTTCCAGAGCAGAGTGAAAGAACTTAAGTCCAGATAATAGGCAAGGAAAAAAATTCTCAGTGGGTTCTGGGAATAGGATAAGGCAGCTATACTATCATTCGATTGAGATCACAATTATATCAGTATTCTATAACATTCTTTAAATGTAAACTTTTTTCTACTTTTATGCATAAGGTAAGATTCGGCTAATTTATTTTTATTATTATTTTTTCGCTAACATATAGCATTATTGTAAATCAAAACTTTATGAATTTTAAATAGATGTACAGCTCTAA